TTTTGAGTGCCTAGTTAGGTATTTTCCTTTGATTAAAAACTTATAAGAATTTTGAGACAAGTTTTGACTCAAGAAATACTGTCTCCCATTGAAAAGTAAATATTTTTTTTGAAGAAAAAGGAAATATCAAACTTGAAAGGTAAAAAAGAGAGAAAAATATAGGGAATTCGAGTTGATATAATTTTTTTCTTTGGGGCAATAAAACATGAAAAAGAAGATTTTTCTTAGAAAGGTGTTGGATTGTAATCTTGGACAAACATGGTGGCGTTTTTGAATTTTTCATGAACTAAGCATATGCATGTTGTAGGTTGAATTTGAAAATTGAGATAAAAATGAAAGATTGAGAGTGAAAATGAAAGGGAAAAGATCTTTGAAAAAATGAGAAGGAAAATCTCTTTGGGAAGAAGTTAATGAAGCAATTTGATCAGAAGTGGGAAACAAGTGAAATTGAAAAGAAAACAATTTTGGAAACAAGTAAAATATTTCTAGCATTTGCATGCATTTCCTTTTTGAAAATGGATATTTGCATCTTAGAAAGGAGATTTAGTCATAAAAATTTTTGGCACTCTGTAAATGAAGAATTTTGCATTTGCATCATGGAATTTGCATGAGGCATTTGCATCATAGAATTTGCATGAGGCATTTGCATCATGAAAGTATCATTTGCATTGCATACATTCAATAAACAAGAAAAAAAATTAAAGTTTTGACTTTGGATTTTGAAATCAAATTTAACAAATGGGCTGAGAAAATTTCGTGAAAAGATTATCTCAACTAGTCAACCCTCTATTGAGGAAAACAACCAAATATGAGATTTTGATCTTTGAAAATTTTCAAACAAGACTCTGTGAATTTTAGATGTGAATCTCTTTGCCTTTTAAATGTTAATCTTCAATATTCAAATGTGAATCTCTAAAATATTTATATGTGAATTTCTTTAAATGTGAATATTTGATTTCCATATGTGAATCTCTAAATCTCTTCAAATGTGAATCTTTTATTTTTTTTAATGTGAATCTCTTAATATTTCAAATGAGAATCTTTGGTTTTCAGATGTAAATTTTTTTCAAATATGAATCTTTGATTTTTAGATGTGAATTTCTAAAATTTTTAGATGTGTGCCTCTGAAATTTTCAAATGAGAATGTTTGATTATTTTTATTTCTCTTAAAATGTGAACATTTGAATTTTAGATATAAATATTCTCAAAAAAGAATCTTTGATTTCAAATAAGAATCTCTAAGTCTTTGTTTGTTTTAAAAAGAAAGATTTAACATTCATGCATTTTCATGTGCATCTGCATTGCATATTTGTCTTTACATCTTTGTAAAAGGCATCTGCATAATTATTTGCATAGATAGGATAATTGCACTTGCATTGTTGGTGATCATTATTGTCAAATTGTGTGCATTTGCATAAGGATCATTGTGTTTGCACCATCATTTTTAGAATGGACATTTGCATCATAATAGTGTTTGTCAATTTTTTTAAATATTGAAAAGAAAATGAAAAAAAAATTATCACAAATCAAAGTAAAAGAAGAGAAAAGAAAGAGTTTATAGAAAACAAAAGGTTTCTAAGGACTTTGGAAAAGGTATATAGTATCTATGAACAAAAAATGAGGAAAGTTTTTCTTATAAGGGGAAAAATGTTGGAAATTTTTTGGGATTTGCAAGATGAAATTTAAGAATTTAAGCATGGCTCCAGTTGAGATTCTAGGCCAATAGCCTCAATTAGAATTGTCAAGCCTAATCTAACTGGCACAAAGGTTTAAACCCAGTTAAGTTAGCACAAGATGAGAGTTTTAAGCATAATCTAGCTAGCACAAAGGTTTATGCCTAGCTAGGTTGACATAAAAAAAGAGTTTTAAGCCCAATTTAATTGGCAAAAAGTTTTAAGCCTAATTAAGTTGGCACAAGATGAGAGTTTTAAGCCTAATCTAGGTGGCAAAAAGTTTTAACCAATTAACCCTGTATTGAGGAAAATTGCAAAATATGAGATTTTGATCTCTAAAATTTTTCAAATGAGAATATTTGATTTTTAAATGTGAATCTCTAAGCCCTTCAAATGTGAATCTTCAATTTTCAAATGTGAATCTATAAAATTTTGGATGCGAATTTCTTTAAATGTGAATTTTTAATTTCCATATATGAATCTCTGAATATCTTCAAATATGAATCTTTGACTTTTAGATGTAAATCTCTAAATTTTTCAAATGACAATATTTGATTTTAGATTCGAATTTTTCAAATGTGAATCTTTGATTTCTAAATGTAAATCTCTGAAATTTTTAGATGTGGATCTTCGAAATTTTCAAATGAGAATCTTTGATTATTTTTATTTTTCTTTTAAAATGTGAACTTCGAATTTTAGATATGAATCTCTTCAAAAAAGAATCTTTGATTTCAGATAAGAATCTCTAAGCCTTTGTTTGTTTTCAAAAGAAAGATTTAGCATTTGTACATTTTTATGTGCGTTTGCATTGCGTATTTGCCTTTACATCTTTGTGAAGGGCAACTGCATAATTATTTGCATAAAATGGACACTTGCATTTGTATTGCTAGTGATCATTTTTGGCAGATTGTGGGCATTTGCATAAGGATCATTACATTTGCACCATCATTTTTAGAATATAGACACCTGCATCATAATAGTGTTTGTTAATTTTTTAAATAATTAAAACAATAAAAAAAGTTTGTCATAAATCAAAATAAAATAGGAGAAAGAAAAAAGTTTATGGAAAGCAAAAGGTTTCCAAGGAGTTTAGGGAAGGTATATGGTATCTGAAAACAAAAAATGAGGAAATTTTTTCTTAGAATGGGAAAAATGTTGGAAATTTCTCGAAATTTTCAAGAAGAGATTTATCAAGTTGAGAATTCAAGCCCATGCCACTAGTTTAGATTCTAAGCCCATGGCGTTAGTTAGAATTATCAAGCTCAATCTAGTTAACACAAAGGTTTAAGCCCAGTTAAGTTGGCACAAGATGAGAGTTTTATACCCTATCTAGTTGGCATAGTTTTAAGCCTACTTAAGTTGGCATAAGATGAGAGTTTTAAGCCCAATCTAGTTGGCAAAAGCCTTTAAGCCCAGTTAAGTTGGCACAAGATTAGAGTTTTAAGCCCAATCTCACTAGCACAATGTTTTAACTAGTCAACCCTCTATTCAGGAAAATTGCCAAATATGAGATTTTAATCTCTAAAATTTTTCAAATAAAAATCTTTGATTTTTAGATGTGAATCTTTAAGCCCTTCAAATGTGAATCTTTAATTACCATATGTGAATCTCTGAATCTTCTCAAATGTGAATTTTTGACTTTTATATATGAATCTCTAAAATTTTCAAATGAGAGTATTTGATTTTTAGATGCAAATCTTTTCAAATGAGAATATTTGATTTCAAGATGTGAATCTCTAAAATTTTTATGTGTGAATCTTCAAAATTTTCAAATGAAACTCTTTTATTATTTTTTTTCTCTTAAAATATGAACTTTTGTATTTTATATATGAATCTCTTAAAAAAGAATATTTGACTTTAGATAAGAATCTCTGAGTCTTTATTTGTTTCCAAAAGACAGATTTAATAGTCATATATTTTCACATGCATCTGTATTGTATATTTGCTTTTACATCTTTGTAAAGGGCATATGTATATTACATAGAAAGGACACTTGCATTTGCATTATTAGTGATCATTTTTGGCAAATTGTGTGCATTTACATAAGGATCGTTGCATTTGCACCATCATTTTTAGAATAGACATTTGCATCATAATAGTGTTTGTCAATTTTTTAAAATATTGACAAGAAATTAAAAAGTTTTGTTATAAATCTAAATAAAAGAGGAGAAAAGAAAGAGTTTATGAAAAACAAAAGGTTTCCAAGGAGTTTAGGAAAAATATATGGTATCTAGAAACAAAAAACAAGGAAAGTTTTTCTTAGAAGGGGAAAAGTGTTGGAAAATTCTTGGGATTTTTAAGATGAGATTTATCAAGTTAAGAATTCAAGCCCATGGCACTAGTTAAGATTCTATGCCCATGGCATCAGTTAGAATTGTCAAACCCAATCTAACTGGCACAAAGGTTTAAACCCAATCTAGCCAGCTCAAGTTTAAACACAATTATGTTGGCATAAGATGGGAGTTTTAAGCCTAATCTAATTGACACAAAGGTTTAAGCCCAGTTAAGTTAGCACAAGATAAGAGTTTTAATCCCAATTTAGCTGGCACAAAGTTTTAAGCCAATTAAGTTGGCACAAAATGAGAGTTCTAAGCCCAATCTAGTTGGCCTAAAGTTTCAAACCTAGTTAAGTTGGCTTAAGATGAGATTTTTAAAGTTTCAGTGCTTTTGTTTAGAAGAGCATTCACAGGTGTCGAGATTTATAAGACCTCTGAGCATAGTTTATAAGTTTTTCGGGTAAAATTCTTAAGTCTTCCAAGTTAAATATGTTATAATGTCAAGATTTGTAAGACATCCAGACATACTTGTTAAGTATTTCAAACAAGATTTATAAGTTTTTTTAGTTTAATTATTCGAGTATTGTGATTTATAAGACTTTTTGACATAATCTTTTAAGCCATTTTAGTTCGATTTTTAAAGTTATTGAGTTTCTAATAAAAAAAAAACTTTCGGTTTGATTTTTAAAATTGTTAAACCTCTAATGAGATTAGTCTTTTAGTTTGATTTCTAAAGTTATCGAGTCTTTAATGAGTGAAAAAAACCAAAAAAAAAAAAAACAACAAAAAGTGTTCGGGCTAATAAATTCGAACAAAATTATTATCTATATCTTTGCTCTATTCTTAATTATCATAAATGCACAAAAAAAAAAAAAACTATAGATACTAATTTTTGTTCGACTTAATTATTTTATGTTCCTAATTAATTTGGCTTTCAAGTTTATTTTTAAAATTTCACTAAATTTATTTAATATTAATTTTTGAGCGATAAATTATCAATAAAGACTCTAAGTTTAACTTCAAAGTGCAATTAAGTTAGATAGGTCCAGAATTTAGTCCAAAGTCCATTGCAATTTGCATGAGTCGTTGGCGCTTAAGATCTTAAAGTTCAAATCAGTTGGGTTTTAACTGGTTTCAAGTATAAAGCCCAAACTTGTTTCAAGTTTTAATCTAGAAAATTTAATTAAAAAAATCAAATCAAAAATAAAAAAAATTAATTGGCAACGACGAGCCTCCACCGGCCTAGCCCCCATCTACCCTGTAAATCCGCCCTACCAGCCACCCCATGTCAGCTGCTAGTCTCTTCTACCCACTATGGAGCCAACCTACCATACGCCCCTACAACCTCCCTTTCCCAGGAATCCAACCTTTTTTGTAATGGCAGTTTACCCATCCCTATAAGGACCTCGATCTAAAGTGGAATTGGAAAATTCAAAGGTGCATGCAAGCCATAGTCCCAGGAAATCCGGGATTTTAATCTCTAAGTTTTTCTATAAATTTGAACCCACTGCCACCGGTGAAAGGGAGAATTTCGAGTGAATCCCAGCAAAGGTTCGATCAAAAACTCGCACTGCCTCTACCAGCACCACCCTTCGCCACCTCTCTGACACCAATCACCTACGAAAAAACAACCACCCTACCGAAACCCGACCAGAATCGCCACAGACCAGTTCAACCCCCCAAAAAATTCTTTTGTCCTCAACCAAAAGACCGAAGTTACCAATTATCACCAACAAAATGCCCACAGCCCACCAAAAAAAAAAAAACAACCATAAAAAACAAACACATCCCGAAGGGAATAGTAGCGCCAAAGCCGAAATTGAAGTAAAGGTAAAGGGGGAGAAATCAAATTGAGATTTGCAATCCTCACTGAAAAACCCACACCATTATTGTATCATCCATCTTTTACAGAACAATAAATTAACCATGGAATTATGAGGTGCTCAAAGCCTCAACCTTGCTTGCAGAACTCAATCAGCTTGGTAAGCGCTTTAGCGGAAGACCCTGATGGACCCCAAGCAGCCAAGGCCTTCTCTCTCATCTTCCAGCTCCTTTCTCTAAGCTCCTTGCCATTATTGGATTCCATCAACTCTCTCACTCGCTTCTCCAACTCAATTCCACTCACAAACCCATCTCCCTCTCTTTGCTCCACCGGAATTGCCATCTTCATATCCTGAACCAAAATGTTCCGATTCAAGCGTTGCTCTGCATATAAAGGCCATGCAATCATTGGCACCCCGGCGACCACTGCTTCCAATATGGAGTTCCACCCACAGTGAGTCACAAAGCCACCAACTGAGTCCTTGTTCAGCACTGCAACTTGTGGTGCAAATGACTTCACAACCAGACCCCTATCTTTGGTTCTCTCCATAAACCCCTCTGGCAAAAGATAGTCTAAATCGACATCGGGGCTATCTTCAGCTTGCTTTGCCTTTTCCTTGTCGGGTGGATTTTTTACAACCCACAAGAACCTTTGTGCACTTCTTTCCAACCCCTTTGCTATTTCTTTAACTTGGGGTGGAGAGAACGTTCCACGGCTCCCAAAGCACAAGAACACGACGCTTTTACTGGGTTGCTTCTCCAGCCATAATAAACAGTAGTCGTTTTCAGCTTTGCTACAAACTGCTGCAATCAATGGTCCGATGTAGAAAGTTGGTGGAGTTGGAGCATCATCAAGGCATAAACCATCAGCAATAGCCTTGATGGAAATCGGTTCAAGATCTTCAAAACTGTTAACAATAATTCCATCCGATTGTAGAAGACCTGAACAGAAGCATATAAGATCATGATAAGCTGGATCTTCTCTGTCAAGTAAGGGTTCAGGCATGTGTACGGCTTTCAACGGTGGCACGCCCTGGAAATAGAAGACCGTATCAGGGAGATCTTTGAAGCTTCCTGTGATTTCTTTATCAAGCTTTGGGAACTGAAGAAAGGCAGCTAGGGTAGAAGCACCGGACGTATAGAAGTAAAAAGTGGGGGTTTTGAGATCTTTTCCTATGGATAAAGTAGAAGTGCAGAAAAGATCTATAACAAAAGCAGTGATGTTTTGATTTTTGGAGATTTCTTGAAGAGAATGGAGTGCGTTTGGGGCATGGAGGCGGATGAACTGGAAGGCAATTGCGGCAGTGCTGCAGTTTTGAGACATGTCGACCGAGATGGATGGGAAGCGGAGGAAGGAGATAGATGTGTAGGCTTGGGAGACAGCATTGATGTAAGAAATGATGCTTGGAGAGTCCCAAAAGCCAGTAGTAAGCAGGATGGTGACGGAAAATTGGTTGTTGCAATGTTGAAGGAAGAGTTTGCCTAGCTCTATCATTGACAGCACATGGCCCAACCCTGGCGATGGGTAGAGGACGATCGTCCCTTGCATTGTTTTGTTTTGTTTGTTTTCTTCGGTTGATTGCCTCGTTTAGCTGTGGCTATGAGCAATGACTTCTGCTTGTTCCTTCGAAGAGGGAGAGGTGACAGAAAAGAGGGGTTTTATTATAAATTTAACAAATAAAGGTGGGCCACATCCTTTGGGTAGTGGCAGTATGTATAGTTCTGAACGAACACTCTTGCTCCGAGAAAAGGAGTCGCCGACACTATTCCATAAAGCATCATTGGGGAATGGTAAGGGCGGTTGAATAGTCAACCGCTTTTTAACATCCGAGCCGTTAAAAAGTCACGGCGACCCGGACTTTAAAACCAAGCTACTTTTTAAAACAGTGAAATGATTTGGACCTTAGTAAGTTTTTCCACAACCTGTCAACACCGTCACGTCACTTTAAAAGTTATCAATTAAAGTTCCGGTAAACTTTATTTGGTTGGTTCGGAGGGTTGGAAGTTCAATACTCTTCCAAGTTAAATTTATATCTCACCTTACCCATTTTTCAATAAAAATTAAAAATGCAATATCCTTTATATCAAATTTCTTTCTTTTCTATTATTGAAAGAGAGTTTTTCAAAAATAGAATAAGATACACAGCAAGTCAGATTATTGATTAACAAAACTTTTGAAAAAAAAAAAGAAAAGAAAGAGAGAAAGTAAGTTTATAGTTTAAAGGCTTGTTGCAAAGAAACTGAGAAAATCAACAATTACTTTTTGCTTTTTTTCTTCGTAAAGGATCGACTTTTAGCTACAGCCTGCATCTGTCTTGATTAGTATAGTAATTACAACTAGCAACTAAATAATAACAGTTGTAAGACAGAAGAAGTTTTGGAGGAAAGTGCAAGTGGAAATGGAGAAAGGGTACTCGATATCAGTCTATCACGGAACAAATAAAAGAATTTCAGAGACGTTCTACTCTGTGAAATTTTAGATTTTGAAAAAAATTCTTAATAATAAGTGATTTTTGATTACATTATATTATTATATTTTTGTGTTTGATTGAAAAAAATCAGATTATTTAAATTTATATTTTTATTATATAACAAATTTTTAATAAAAAAATCAATAAATAATGTATTTTCAAATCGATAATAACAAAATTTACAAATATTAACTATTGCATCATAAAGTAAAATAATGCAAAAATTATTCATTTGATTAAAATTATAATTATCAACTATTATGTTATAAAATAAAAAAAATATGACATTTGATTATTTTAAAATAATTATATTTATCAATTATTACATTTTAAAACAAAAAAACTTAGTAATTGATTACTTAATAAAAATTAAAATTATCAATTATTATATTATAAAATCAAATAATAGAATAATTAATTGTTTTGAAACAATTACATCTATACTATATTTTAAAACAAATAAATACAATAATTAATCAATTAATTAAATAAAAATAAAATTATCAATTATTACATTACAAAATCAAATATTATACTTATCAATTACTGCATTTTAAACTAAATACTGTAGTGCGTCGTCAAGGCCGGGAATGACGGACATGCTTATGCCTTTGAATTGCAAAATTTTCACCTTAAAGTTACAGCACAACAAATATTCGTGCGATACTTTTTTTTTTCTTTTTACTGATGGGATCAAAGCCATTTATTATTAAATATTTTTTACTAAAAAGTATTTTGGCAAATAAATGTTTTCTAGTAAAAATGTTTTTTTTTTTTTAATACCACATTACCGATTAATTTGTTAGTATTTTTGAATTTGATTTCTTATATTTATAAAACTTTTATGCGTTATTAACATTTAATCACTTTAAAGACAAATCTTAGTAGTTATAATCGTGGAAAAGTTGGTTAATCTTTTTTTTTTATATATATTTATAAGATTGAGATTTAATCCCAATTTTTTGAATAAGAAAACTTCTCGTTCAAATTAAATCATGCATAATAACCTCTTATGTTATAATATTTTTTCTTAGAAAAGTTCATGTGATAGTACTTCTTTCATTCCAAAATTTTTTTATCCAGAATTATGAAAAATTTTCATTCTCATGTATTTGATAATTTTTATTGTAAAATTGATGTTTCATGAATTTTAATTTTGAAAATTAATCATAATCGAGGTAAATTTTAAGTAAATTTTTTTACCATGAAGTTTGTGAAATTTTTTTATTAAAAGAGATAAAATAAAAATTAAATTTAAAATTTTATATGTAAATTTTTTAATTCTGATTTGAAATTTAATTTTTATTAGATTGTTTTCAGCAAAAAAATTGTTAATTATACTAAAAATTTCTTTCCTAAATTTTTCTAAGAATCATAAAAAATAAATTTATAATAGAATTAAATTAAATATATTAAAAATGCAAAAAAAAGATATAAGTTTTAACTGTTTAATATATTAAGTAGGGATGTAAACAAATAGAACATTTAATAATCATTCATGAAAACGTTCACTTTCTATTCATTTATATTCGTTTATTAAGCTTAATAAATAATTTTGAATAGTATTTTTATACTCGTTTATTAAATAAACCGAATACGAACAGAAGTCTATTTGGTTCATTTTTATTTACGAACAAATTCGTTTAAGATTCATTTAAACTCGTTCTTTTATGGTTCATTTATTATTCATTTATTTTTAATAATAATAATAAAAAAATTATATTTTTATCCTTACCTTAATTTTATTTTAGGATTCATTTATGTTCGTTTATATTCATTTAGAGATTATTTTGTTTAAATTTGTTTGGTTATGATTTGTTTTATTATTCATAAATATGTTCGTTTATATATATTCGTGAACATATTCGTTTAATGTTTATAAACGAGTTTGCTTAATTTAATCAAGCCCAACAGAATTGAAACGCGAATATCTTATCATTTAAACAAACTGAGTTCAAATTAACATAGTAATTTTCTTATCAAAAGTGAACTAAGCTCAAACAACTCTAAAGAAAAAAAAAAAAAAAACAAACCACATATATATTTGTTCATTTATTTATTCATTTTCGATTTGTTTTCACCTATAATATTAGAAAAAAATTGAAGAGCAAGGAAAATTGAAAATGAATTTCATTTTAAATTAATGTAATTTGTTTTTTTTATGCCCTGGAGTTTTAAAAGGTAGAATGTAAAAGCTAAATGTGACTATATGGACACATAAAATCTTTGAGTCATAAAAGCACATCAATTTTACTTTCTATTACGAAGGAAATTTTAAATAAACCTCAAAAATTTCTTTTAACATCCCATTTTTTACTTATTATATTCACACCCTAAATTTAATTTTCCATAAACACTTTCACACCCTATCTTCTTTTTCTTTATACCCCTCCCATTTTTTTCCCTTAAATCTAGTTCCCTAAAAAATCAATGTAAAATTTAACTTAGATTCCAGAAAAATCAAGTTATTAAGCTTCTAATCAAAGGTAATTCATTTGTTCTTATTTTAATTTCATTTAATTTTGTTGTTTAATTTTGAAGAATTTTGGGTGAAATTAGTGCTATGATTTATAGCTTCTAAAAATGTATCTTCGAAGTTCTTCTAAGTTTTTGGAAATACATTTATGAAAACTTTTAAAAGTGTTTGGGTATTCATTTTTGAAAACTTTTAAAGGTTTTCAAAAATACATATCCAAAAACTTTCGAAGGTTTGCAGAAATGCATGTTCAGAATCTTTTTAGAGTTTTTAGAAATACATGTTTAAAAGTCTTTAAAAGTTTTTGGAAATATATCTCTAAAAACCTTTAAAAAATTTTTAAACCCTATATCCAAAAACTTAAAAATCTCACAATAAATTTCATATTCCTACCTATATTATCAATATCATGTTGAATCATTTATATTTGCCTTTTAGTGATAATGTATTGGCAATCTAATATATGTAAAAATAGATATGGCACGAACAATAAGAGCTGAGGTTGGTTGAGATAGTAGATGTGTCGTAATCGATATTTGGAGATGTCTGACTATCTCTAGGAGAAGATGACGAGTCAATGAAAATGTAGATGAGCCAATTATTGATTTGTCAGAATAGTCAGATGTTCATCCCTTAGAGCTAGTTGATCATCCCTCAAAACCATTTCTTAGAGGACTGATAGATTTTTTTTGCTTTAGAACTTCAGCACTCATATTGTAGCATAAATATGGAATGGTTAGATAATAAATTCAATGAGATTGATGCTTATTTTTTTTACTTAATGTATGTAAAGTTAATAATTACTTTCTATTTGTTATTGCTTTTATAGGAACGAGGTACCTTAAAAGCAATCAACCATAGGGCAAAGTTATAACATTGGCCTCTAGATGTTTCTCGATAGTGTATTTGTGTGAATGTTGTTCAATCAAAAGTGCTATTATTGATCGATTGCAACTATCATTTGTTCAACAACACGATAAACGATTATGTTTAAACGATTCTCTACATACCTGTTAAGGGGCGATGATATCAATTCATAAGTTGATGACGAATGAGGTGAACATATTGTTGGTGAAGTTGCTTGAAGTACAGAGGCTATGGTAGCATACAATGGTTACGGGATACATCTAAAAGAGTTACCAATAGCATTTTCGATTAAGATGTAGAGTGTGCTACTATAACTTTCTTGCTCCATCTTTTAGGGTGTATACTATTTGTTAACAAGAGTGGAGATAAGGTATTAGTAGCGTACTTACATTTATTGAGCAACTTGAGCACCACTATACATTTGCTTGGGGACAGCTTGTCTAGCACATTTATATAAGCAACTTGGTATACCGAGCAGAGCTCAAGTTTATCAAATTGATGATTATATTATGCTTATTCAAATATTTATATTAAATTAGTTTAACGATTTGTAGATTAGTTATATTTGTTTATTTGATTAAAAATAACATATAATTTATGTTTTTTTAATGTAAATGTAGGCATGGATTTATGAGCACTGTCCAATGTTGGGTCCAATAGCCAATATGAAATATTTTAATCACGAGCCTCGTACTTGATGATGAAAGCTATGTATGTACGTTGATCCATTGTAGCAAATACAAGAACAGTTGGATGCCTTGACCTCAACTTGGATGTGGTGGAGCCTTTGTGAGACATAACCATAACACCACCCATTATCGATGATTGTTTATTTTTTAGGTGTATTAAGTGTGGGGTTATTATAGAGCCATATCATCCAAAGAGGGTTTTACGACAGTTCGTTTATGTACAAACCATTTCTCTAACCCTTCTAGCTTCATGTCAAGCTAACCTAGGAGCATTTTTCAACACATATGATGTTGCATATAACTTTTTGCATAAGTTTTGAGAGTGATGGATATTCATGTTTTGCCTATCAATTATCGAAGGCATTGATGTACTATATTAGACGAGTTTTCATCGGATTATGATCCTCAGTT